CCCCAAAACCCCAAAACCCCTAAGAGTGTATTGATATACACCATAGAATTTTTAAAGTTACTTGGAATAAATAAATATCTATTAATTAAGACACTTGCTCAGGGTCATCATGTTTTTTAGTTGTTGTAGGATCTATCGAATTGATTCCCTACGCTATTTGTACTCATTTCGCCTTGCTCTTCTTCTTCTCATTTCTTTTTATTTTGTTTTGCACAATTTTATCAGCGTTAACTAAATGAGCATCAGCCTTGGTGCTAAACTTAACTTCCTCAGCCTTTTGCATCCATGACAAAATCTTCATGCTTCTCTCTTTTTCCATTTTGGGGTTTTACTGGAGTTCAGCCAACTGAGAATTGCTCTTTTTCTTAAGTATTTTCTGCGAGTTGGGGGCGTCTGGCTCTTGCTTGCTAATCTTCTTGTCAAATTTGCCCATTGAAGCAGTGCTCAATTAAGCGAGCTAGAAACTCTTTGCCAAAGCCTTTCTCTCTCTCTTTTTCATGGCTTATTTCTCCTGATCTTTGCTTGGTCCTTCGTCTTTTACTTTACCATCCCCCTTGGCTGGTAATACCTAAGTGCTCTGGCCTTCGTTTTTGTTTCCATTCATGTGCTTGGCTGCATAAATGTCGTTCTTCATTCTCTTCAAATTCTCCTTCTCAATTACCATCTTTCTCTCCTGTCTCTTCTTAGTGAAAGGATCCTGACCTTTATCTGCAGCCTTATCTACCATAAGCCAGTTGTGCTTCTCTTCAATCTTCTTAGCACTGTTGTGACCCCATCTAGGCACCCAGTCATTTGAGATTGGGTCAAACACTAATCTAGATCTCTTCTATCTGGCTGGCATGCCTCTCTCTAATCTAAACTTCTCCCATTTCGTCATTGGCTTCTCCTTTGGAATAGGCTTTTCTCTTGGAACAATGATCTTAGGTCTGGGAAGCATTACACTGAACATTGACTTGGTATATTCTAAAATCTCACCATCATCTCCCAACTTAGCTAATTGCTCTCTCTTCAAGTCAAATAATTCTTTGTAGAGCAGACATAGATTCTTTTTGGTAGTCTCTAGAATTTGTTTCTCAGACTTCTCTGTGAAACTAGAGCAGTCCTCGAACATCAATGCTCCGATGTCACAGTATTTATTGACTCCTACTACTTTTCCCTAGTCAAGCACGTAGACTGGAGCGATTACTTCTCCTGTTGGTTTTGCTACTTCTGTCATTATTAAATTGTATTTAATATTAATTTCGCTCTATAATTCTATTTAGCTTGTTTGAGAAATTTAATCTCGTGGGGTTTTGGGGTTTTGGGGTTTTGGGG